GGTGGCTTTTCCTTATTCTCTTTAGACTCTGAAGACTCTGCACTTTCACAGGGATGAGGAAAGGGTGAGCTTCACTCTGTTGGTCCTGCTGAGTGTTGGTGGGGTAGGGACATTGAGGAGGGCAGTGTCCAGTTGGGCCATTGCCATTTGGGGGCTTCCTGCTGACTATTGGGTTGCATGAATGCCAAGTCTAGAGATGCATGGGAGTGCAGGGGTGAGGGCATCACTGCCCTGTGGGGTGGTGTGGAAGGTAGCAGGCTCCCACCCTCACCCAGTCTCAGCCCAGTCTTCAGCCACTGTAGCTGCGCCCACCTGGCCACTGCACTCACTGCTCCTCCTGACACTTGCCACAGCCCTATGGCCTCTCCTGGGGATGCTCGCCATGCTCCTGGGCCCCTTCTGACACTGTCAGCCCTGACTCACACCTGCCTGGGGGCCCAGGCAAGGCCCTGAGCAGCCACCCAGTGTGACATCCACCCAGTGGATCTGTGATATGCCAGTGGTGGGGGTCAGAGCTGCAGCCTCAGACTCCTCAGCACCCAGCACCTGTCCCTAGGTGCCTGCCTGGGTTCTGTTCTCTGGGGCCACCATCTCCTCAGGTGGGAGGTGGAGGGAAGGGGCTGTGAGCCTCAGTGACCACATGGGTCCACGCTGATGCTTCAAGCCCAGCATGGTGTATGGTGTGGCCTGGAGATGTGGGTGGCTCAATCTGTCACCCTTCACCTCTGCAGAACCACTGAGGCTGAGACCACGAGGTCCAGGTTGCATAAGACCTATGTGCTACTTTGGCTGAACAGTAGGGTGGGACACCCCATGGCCAAGAGCAGGGCTCCCTGCAGCTGCTGCTGAGTCCCTTAAGCCATCCTCCCTCATTTCTGCAGCTGGAGGTGGAGGCAAAGACAGTTCTGGAGCTGGTCTGGCTGAGAACCTCTGCTGAGAGGAGCCGAGACAGATGGGTTCTGTGGCCGGGCTCCCCACCCTCTGCCTTCTTCTTACACCTTTGCTCAGGGTAGAGGTCCTTGGTCCTTGAACACCACGTGTGCTTCCTGCCCGGGGGCTCATTCGGAGGCAGAGACTTGCTACAGAAAGGTCCTTGTGGAATTTCCACAGGTCTCTGTCCTGGGTCCTGCCCATCGCCTCCTGTTCAGGACATCCACCTGAGCTCTCCTTGCAGATGTAGGTGCTTGTGAACGGTGCTGTGTAGGTGCAGATGTGTTCCCCTGAGGATGTTGAGAGAGTGACTTTACCATCCTCCTGAGCATTGGGGCGTGGGGGGTGGAGGCAGAGTATACGCACTGCGGTGAGGCAGCCCTCCAGGGCTCGGTGGCTCTCTGTACCGCCTTTGTGTCATCTTTTTGTTTAAAACCACAGTCCAGATGCACAATGAAATCTTTCATTAAGATGCTTAAATTGGAAAATGACAGCAATAATAAAAACAAAGCCCGGCAGCCCAGGCTGGCATTATCTCATGGTGCATGTAGGTCGATGGGATAGGGTGTTTTGAATGGGAGTCCTGGGTGTGCCCCAGGGCCATTCTCCACTGTGGCAAGGCTGAAGGAGCTCTGCTCAGGCCCTCCCTCGCAAAACACCATCCTGCCCATCCAGCCTGCCCATCCAGACAAGGCCACAAGGGGAGGCGTCTGGCACACTGGCCACCAGCAGATTGTTCAGAAAGGACAGGGCTCTCCAGATCCACCTGTACTCAAGAGGGTGGGATGTTCTGGTGCTGCCCACAGGTTCTTGGCAGGTTCATCTGAGCCTTTGAACTTGGTTCTCAGGGCATGCCCGTGGCGGGGGCACGGGTTGTGGGAGGTGGGGGCACATGCTGTCTGTCCATGGAGACCTGGAGGTACAGGTCTCTGCAAAGTTCAGAAACAAAGTTGCAGTTTCCATGTCCATGGTAGACAGTTTCCTTCTCAGAGCTGCAGTTTTCCACTGGCAGCAATTTTAAAAGGAAGAAGCTCCAGGTGCCTGTAACCTGTCTGATGCTCTGTTATGGCTGAGGACACTCACCAGCCACGTAGCTACGGCTTCCTGTGGCCCAGCGCCCTTCCTCATCCACACGGTGGCAGGGGCTTTCCGGCAGCGACCTGGCTTGTGCGTGCAGGCGGCCTTGGAGCTGGCTGCTGTTGTGTACCAGGAGCAGGGTCAGAGCAGAGCTCAACCTTGTCTGTCTTTTATTTTGTCCTAATATTATAAATGAAAAAGTGAGAAATCAACTTGAGTATTTTTGTGCAGTTCACATAGTGAAATGAATAGCATTAATAGCATTCATACAGTGTGCTTAAAAAGACTGAAAATGAGTAAAACATAAGGCTTGGAGGAACAGAATTCTCTTAAGACCCAGAGAGCCATGAGGCCGTCAGTTCCGACTTGCCCGAGGGTTGGCTTTGTCCTGAGGACGTGGCAGGAGGACGCGACCAGCTTCGCCTGCTAACAGAAGGATACCTGATTTTGGCCCCGGCTACTGGCTCACGTCACAGCTGAGCAGAATGTGGGTAGAGAGGGTACAAAGTGAGTGTAGTAAGAAAGTTTTGCTTTTCTGGAAGCCCAAGAACACATCTGGCACTCTGGGCTCTGTTCATAATGTTCATCAAGTAGGTAAATCCTTTTGGACTCAGTTTCTTCAGCTGTCGAGAAAGGGAAGCAGAACAGCCATGGCACAGGGTAGTGAGAGCCCACGGGGTGTGGACAGCTGCCCTCAGTGAGAGCCCACGGGGTGTGGACAGCTGCCCTCATTGTCACAGGTTCCTTCTCTCCTGTTTCCCCTCAGGGCTGTGGAAGGGCAGTGATGATGGTCTTCATCTGCCCTGTTCCCTGAGGTCTTGGTGCGCCAGGGCTGGGAGGCACCTGCTGGGGGATGCCGGTACCACTGTCCCTAAACCTGTCAGGGGCCCACACCTCTGGCGGCACTGATCTGGGAGATGGAGTTCTCCCAGAGTTCTGGGAGTCCTGGAGTTCCGGCTGCCATGTTCATTCAAAGGTGAAATTAACCTAGATTCCTGAAAGATCCATAAATATGTGATCCAGCATCTTTGCTTTTTATGACTGGGACATGACGTAGCAGGGGAAAGTGTTCTCCTTCCATCTTCTGGAGCTGCCAGGATCTTCTGGGCCGTCCTCTCCTTCGTGTGGCCTCCCTGGCCCGCACCCCAAGGCCAACCCCTGTGCCCCCTGCCCCACGTGTGCCTCTAAGGGTCCCTGCATAGCTTTGCCATCAAACTGGTGAGATGCCTGGCTGCTGCCTGTTTGTTGGCTGCAGCTGAAACCATCATTTCCATTTTGTTGTCAGTGCCACAGAGCCAGGGTTGGCTGAATTCCGGCGGGATTACGTCATTAGCACAGAGGTCAACCAGCTCGCGCACGGCGCCTTCGCTCTGAGAGTTCCTCCTGTGTGCACTACCCCGTGCTGACTGTGTGTCTGAAATGCGAGACAGAACCATGTTTTCTCTGCATCTCTGCCCCTTATGTTGGTGTTGCCGAGCGTGTGTCCGATGGAAGCCCTGGGGTTCAGTGGGAATGGTGACTATGGCTGCAGTGGACAATTGTGGCCAGTGCTTGGAGAGCAATTATTGCACTGGGCACTGTACCAAGTGCTGTTCTCATCTCCGGATGGTCCACCTAGCTACAGCACTCTGAGAGATATTGCCACCGACCACATATTCCAGGCAGAGATGACATAACCTGCCAGGTCTCCAGCTTCATGGGGATAAGCAGGGAGAACCGGAGATTCCAGGTCTGGGCTCTCGGGCTCTGCCATCAGACTCTTGCCCTCAGGTATAGCCCTGGTAACTGTCTTAAGTCTTCCTGGCTGTAGTCTCTTCATTTGAAAATAATAACAGACCCTACTTCCTAGGTTGTGGTGATGGCTATGTCATAGCAAATGTGAGAATCAGGGCACTGTTATGGCACCTGGCAAGCCCCCTTACACCTGCTGCTGAGATGATGGAGGCAGGTGCTGGGGGGCTGGAAAGGGTGAGGTGCGCAGAGCCTCTGACAGGCACCTGAGGTTGGTGGACAGGACCCCACTCTGTCCTGGCTGCTGACAGACTGGCAAGAGTATTAACAGCTCATCTGACTTTGAGGCGCTTGTTTCCTCCTGAAAGCACCAGAATAGTCAATTCTGTGAATTATATGAGAATTCTCAGGGCTGAATGTGTGTCCTAGGTGTGCCTCAGCAGACACCAGAGCCCTCCAGCACCTGGCTTTTCGCTGGTGTTCTCCTGGTTGAAGAGCACAGGAGGCCAGTAGTCATCCGGGCTATGGCCAGTATGGCTGAGGAGGTGCTGGGTGTGCAGGTGACACTTGGGCCATCATTCTCCACCTGGACCTGGTCCCGGCTGTGGCCAAGGTAGCTAGCTCCTAATCTGGTGGTACGGGGGGGACCAGGTCTTCTGTGGTCTCAGCACAGGTCAAGTGAACTTGGGTACCAGCACAGCCACGTCCAGCACTAGGACCTGGCCACCTCCTGGAGTGCTAGTATGTATAGACTTATGCCAAAATGTGCTTCTCTGTTAGCATATAGGGAAATAAGTTTAGGAAAGAAAAGCAGAAAAAAAACAGGCATGTGGTGATCTGCCTGGTTCCAAGAGGTTAGTTCCATGGTCAGCTCTGTTCTCAGTCTTGAGCAAGGCTTTATTCAAAACTGTTAAAGTTTTAGTTGAAGGAAGAGGAAGAAAAATGTTTATGTGTTGACATCTCCCCTGAGACTACGGCATGAAGTTAAGCAGAGAATTGAAGGCTGGGTTAGGTTGGGAGGGTCTGACCAGTGAGTCCAAGTTGCAAAATAAGCTCCTGGCTCCAATTCAAGGTGAAGTCCAGCCAACACTGAGAGCTGCCTGGTTTTGTTTTGTTCATGAATGTTATTTCAAGGAAGATGTACAAGTCTTTGCCCCTAATAGGTGGCAAGTTCTCTAATTATAGCCGTTGGTGACAGCTTCCTTTCTTCAGGGTTATCTGTCGAGCCCGTGCTGGTGCATCCTCCTGACACTTGACGAGCGCTGTCTCATTCTTCCAGGGCCCCCTTCTAACGACAAAGCGGCAGAGAGCAGGCTGTGGCATGGACCAGCGCGGGCTCCCTCCTCCCGCTCCTGAAGGTAACGGATCTCCCCAGTTGAGGTGTCCCCGCTGGGTTATGGTGCATCAGAGTCTCACCCAGACCTGAAACTTTGGGACCTTTCAACTGCTGGCAGCTGGGGTGTGGGCTGGGGTGAAAGATGCGGCTCTGCTGTGAGCCTTGGCCCCACACGCCCACACCCGCCGTGTACCGGGCATGCGCCTCCCTCCCCTCGGGTCATCCTGGGGAGCTTCTCACTGTCCTCACAGGTGCTTCCCTGTAAGGAGGGCCTGCAGTCAGCTCCAGGGATTCCTGGAGAGCGTAACTTAACCAGTTTCTACTGGAGGGGGCATGGTTAGGAGAAGGACGCTTCCAATTTTAGAGGCTGATAAATGCAGCTTGCTCGAGGCAGGCTTCCTCCCACCAAACCACACAGCCTCTCCTGCACCTGGGCCGAGCACACCTAGTTTCCTTTTGTATTTTCTCTGCCCGTAGCTTATGGACAAGGGACAGGCGCCACCTTCTTTCTCCATCTGCTCCCTTGGCAGAGACTCTACGAAGGGAGGGGCCACCAGTTAAAGTTTCCTATTTAGTGTCACCTCACCAGAGTTAAGTCACTGCCAAAAAGACCAGGCCAGGGTACACCGGCTCACACAGCAGCCAGCGGGGAAGCAGGTCTGCACTGACCAGCGTCTGTGCAGTGGGCGGTCTGTGGGACGTCCTGTGGAGACGTGGCTGCATCCTCGAAGTGTCTGCTGGACCATGCTGTGTACACAGACCAGGGTTGGCCCCAGACCGGGAAGCTGCAGGGCAGGAAGCAGAGGACGGGAGGCGACTGAGCCATAGAGGTCCAGGAATTAACCCACCCAGAGTCAGGCCTTATCCCCACAAGCCGGCGGCGTGGGTCTGGGGAGAAACCTGTCTTGGTGCCACTCCCACTCTGTGGGTGCTCCCAGGGGTTGTGACTGGGCAGGAAAGAGCTGAATCTGTCCTTCACCCCTCGAGGACCCAGAGACGCCATTGCTCACCAAGCTGTGACAAGATGATTCTGCAGGTGAAGGAATCAGGGTGGAGGACACCCACCGGTAGCTGATGACAGGGTCACAAGTGTAAAGAGCCTCTGGGCTTCTTCTGCCTGTGTTTGGGGTGTGAAGGCAGAAGTAAGCGTCTACCTTTTGGAGTTTTCTGGAGCCATAAGACTGTAGATTATGAGACGTGATACCAAGAAGCTGAGGCTGCAGTTCTAGTCTTACTTCTGTTTTATGGGGTAATAAACAGTTTTTGATTATTGATGTATAAAAGATGTACATAGTTTCAGGGTACATGTGATAATTTAATACACTCATATAATTTGTAAGTATCAAATCAGTGTACTTGGGATACCTGTCACCATAAATATTTGTCTTTTCATTCTGCTGGAAACATTCTCTTCTAGTGATTTTGAAATGTACAGTAGACTAATTATTTTGTGATTAATCTATAGTCACCCTACTGATGTATTGAGCACCATTCTCATTTCTTCTATCAAACTGTGTATTTGTGCCCTTTAGCTGCTCCTCTTCCTCTGTCCCCTGGTAACCACCTGTCCCCTCTGTCTTCCTGAGACCCTCTCCTCCCCTCCCTGTGTGAGGGAGACAGTGTCTGGTTTATTTTATGTAACACAGTGACCTCCAGTTCCTTCCTTGTTGCTGCAGAAGGATTTTATCCTTTTGGGGGCTGAATAATACTCCATTGTGGACATAAGTTACAGTTTTTTATCCCGTCACTAGCCGATGGACACTTAAGGTACCTCCAAACCTTGGCCGCTGGGACCAGGCTGCACTCATGTCTCTTGCCATCTGGATTTGCTTCCTTTAGGACACGTCCAGCAGGGGGCTGCCCACCCTGGACCACTCCTCCTTCTACCATGTAAGGAACCTGCCTTCTTTCTGGCATTTTGTGGAAATACATCCTCAGCATTTTCCTCCCCACACACGTGAGAGGGGGAATGATGATGGTGTGTGGGTGTGCAAGAGATAGTTACAGTTGAGGCGAAAGCTGAAAATAAAAGGCGGATCCAGAAAGCGCCTTCCACAGGTGTTTAGGAATCAGGAGATCTTTGACTTACTAAAAATCTCCTGGCAAATGTACACTTCCTTTCACCGTGTTTTGACCACTGTTTTCAAAGAAAACTGAAACCGTCTGTTTTCTCATTAAAAGTGTGTCTGGGGTTTGCTGACAGCATCTTCTGTGCCGGCCAGTGCCTAGTATCCTAATAACTCTGCCTTAATTGTAATGCCCCCTGGGCTTGACGAAATGCCCGTCCATGCCGGTTCTCCACAGGACCAGACTCTGCTGAGGTGCCTGGCCAGACCACACTTCATCCCCGTAGCAGGGACGAAGGCCTGCCTGGAGGGGAGTTAATTTCCCCGGTTCCGACAGGGTCCCTGTGAGCATATATTACCCCTCATCCTGACGGGGGCTCCCCCGTGGGCCTCTCCTATGAGCAGGTGGCTTGGCCTCTCAAGATGCCACATAGATCCTTAGGCAAGTCAGACTGGCCAGGCTGTCCTCCCCAGTTCCCACCCGACTAGTCTTGGGCAAGTCTCCCAGCTGGGAGTATGGAAATCCCCTCAATTTGCCACTGTTAACATTTCACCCAGAACAGTTCCCAGGAGCTTTGGAAGCACTGAGGAGGCAGCTGCAGGCCACCCGGTGGGGTCTCGGTGCCACGGGCAATGGGGCTCTTGGCCCTCCTGTCCTTGACTGACAGCTCCTGTGTAGCCTTTGCACCTTTTGGGGAAGGTCACGATTTAAACAGTAGGACTTCAGCTCAACAACTGAGATAGCGCTACATGACTGTCTAGTTAATTAACTTTTTCTTTTTTTTGAGACAGGGTCTCACTCAGTCACCCTGGGTAGAGTGTATTGGTGTTTCAGCTCACAGCAGTCTCAAACTCTGGGGCTCAAGAGATCCTCTGGTCTCAGCCTCCCGAGAAGCTGGGACTACAGGTGCCAGCCTCAATGCCTGGCTAGTTTTTCTGTTTCTGAGTAGAGATGAGGTCTCGCTGTGCCCCGGCTTGTCTCAATCTCCTGAGCTCAGGCGATCTATCCACCTCAGCCTCCCAGAGTGCTAGAGTGCTAGGATTACAAGTGTGAGCCACCATGCCTGGCTAGTTAATTAACTTTTGTGACAAGTAAACATGGGGATGATGGCCTGGTATCTTTTTTGATGATATGATGATATCCTAATTATAATTGCCTCCCACTGCTAAGTAAAGCTATCCACTTAAAAATAAAATGGCTTTGAAAATAAAGAAGCAGGCTCAGCGCCTGTAGCTCAGTGAGTAGGGCGCCAGCCACATACACTGAGGCTGGGGGGTTCGAGCCCTGCAGGTTCTGCTAAACAACAATTACAACTGCAACAACAACAACAACAACAAAACAGCCAGGCGTTGTGGCAGGCTCCTGTAGTCCCAGCTACACAGGAGGCTGAGGCAAGGGAATCGCTTGAGCCTAAGAGTTTGAGGTTGCTGTGAGCTGTGACACCACAGCACTCTACTGAGGGTAACATAGTGAGACTCTGTCTCCAAAAAAAAAACAAAAGAAAAGAAAAGAAAGAAGCAGCAGGACGTGAATCTTACTTCTTACCGGCGCCGGCATAACTGGTGTTTGTGTTTTGGGTCACCATTTTTCTGGTTATTTTACTCATATTTCTCGTCTACATAATTGTAGTCATTACATATATATTTTTGTTGAGTGTACATTTTTGTGTCCTGCTTTACATTTTTGATTTCATAAGTATTTCATAACTGTCATGTTCAGTGGCTACGTACCATCCTGTCCACTGTGCTGTTACATGTTTGCTGGGAAATTCTTTATTCCACCCCGTTCCTTCCCTTTCATCAGGTGCCTGTGCCTGTCTGGGACTTGCTTGTAGCAAGCCACACCGTCACCAGGAGAGGCGGGTGGGCACCAGAAAGAAGTTCAGGCTTCCCGGGTTGGAATGCTGACTTGGGCGACGTGAGCTGATGACCCCAGCAGCCTCTGTGGGTCTGCGGCCGGTCATCCAGCCTTCAGCCCTCTCGTCCTCTGCAGACAGCAGGGCCTCCTGAGTGCGTGCTGGGACTTAAGGAGTTAATGTCTATAAAGTGCTCAGAATCCAGGCCCCTGAGCACTTAGCAAACCAAGTTAGAGGAGGATCTGGGATTTTTTTTTTTTTTTAAATCATGTTAGAAAATGCTTGGGTACACTTCAGTGTGCAAAACGCCAGTTTTATGATTTTAAAGTCACATCACTGGCTAATGTCTTTCTCTAATTAATAGCAAAGTGTGTTATGGGGAGAAGAAACCAGTACCATTGCCACATTAATGATGATTCACAAAAAAGTCAGTTACCAAAAGCCTGGTGACTTCAACGGAGAGCTCAGACAAAGGGCAGCACCACACAGTGGGCTGGACATAGAGGGGGGCTGACCCTGTGGGCCGGGCCTTGCCGGGGGCAGGGTTAGCTCTGAAGGCGGGGTGGGCTTTCCTCCTGGGGGGCACTGTTTTCTGGGGGCCCCCTGCAGCAGCACAGCCAACAACCACAGTAACACTCGGAGCACAAGTGGTTACGAATAGCCTCTTGTTACTGAAGCTGTTTGCAGCCTGGTGCTTTTTGACTTTTATTAAAAAATAAAACAATAGGGGCTGTACCTGTGGCTCAAGGAGTAGGGTGCCGGCCCCATATGCCAGAGGTGGCGGGTTCAAACCTGGCCCCGGCCAAAAACTGCAAAACATAAATAAATAAAAATGAAAAATACATGTGAAAACCCCACACTGTACCCCAGAAGTGCATTAATGTACATAGTTACCGTTCAATAAAAAAAAAAAAAAAGCTTGAAAAAAAAAATGAAAAATAAAACAAAGGAATTAAAAAAAACAAACAGCCATCATTTGAAATAAGGGAAAATCTTATCTTAAATTAAGCTTTCATTTTATAATCAAACATGGTCTTAAAAGCCCCAGGAAAATAACACTTAGCTTTCATCTCTGAACTTACAAATAAATATTCCTTTAATTGTTTTTCTTAGTTAATCCTTGGCTCCTCCTTAAAAGCTGCTCCTGGATTTGGAGCAGCCAGAGGGTCATCTGCTCACCAGGGAAGGGCCAGTGCGGGAGGTGAGTGGCAGCCTGTCCTCTCCTTCTTGGGGACGCTGGGGCTTGAGGCAGTGCGTCTCCTGAAGCCCATAAAATAAATATTTTCTTAAAGAAATGAGAAAATTTAAGTGTGGCATGTTTGTGGTTGTTTCAGGTCACATATCTGTGTTCTCCTTAGGGTCTTCGTGAAGAAATACTGCTAGGCCCTGTCCTGTCCCAGACCTTGTGTTGCTTTATGACTCTGGGATTCTGTGACTCTGTGGCTTTATAGGTATCACATGGCTGTTCTCAGTTTGTCCTGGGCAGCCTAGAGGAACGGAGAGGAAGAACGGTTCACAACCCCCACCACTGGGTCCAGTTTCGTGGCCTTTGGGGCCATTCCTGGCCTCAAAACTGCAGTCCTATGCATGTCAGCCCCAGGCCACAGCCAAACCATCAGGCCCTGGCCCTAGTAGCCCCTGCCACTGCCCTTCCCAGGTCACTGCAGGCTGCCCATCCAGCTCCCAGTGTGTGTCCCCGTCTGTAGGACATACGCCCTGCCCCCGGGTGTGTATCTCCATCTGAAGGACATACGCCCTGCTCCCCGCATGTCCTGCTTGCCACATGCCCTCCCGCACTGCTTCTGTGCCTCATGGGTGACTTGGAAGTGACCCGGCGTTTAGAGAGCCAATTTGCCAAACAATCACTTCAGTAAGGACCACTAAATTACAGATTCACTAAAAGCCTTTTTAAAAATTAATGCTATCTGTAATTTGCCGCAGGAGATGCTTTGGGTGACCTTTCAGCGTTTTCAGGTTTTCAAACTTGAGATTTTTTTCCGGACTGTTCTTTGCCTTTGGTAAATGGCTCACTGGAGAACACTGGTTTTGAGGAGTGGGAATTGCTTCCGCGACTCTCATCGTGAATGTTGTGAAACAGACAGGGCCAGCAACCCCGGGTCACAGGAGTGGACGCGGCCCAGCTCCTGCACTGTCCTCCTGGGGCTGCCCTGACAGAGTGCCACAGACCGCTTGGCTTATGCAACAGAAATGTGTCCTGCTGTTGTTCCAGAGGCGTGGGGTCCGAGTCAGGGTGCCAGTGGGACGCAGGGTGCCTCCCTCAGGGAGCCTGGGTCAAATCCCCCCGCCTCTTCCAGCTTTAGGCTGCAATTCTGGGCATCCTGGTCACGTGCAGGTTTGGACTTTCAATGGACTCTCTTGATGGTTTTTATTCCCCTTTGCTGATTGAATTTTACTTAGTTTTATTAAGGAAAAATGAGTTATTTTGGCAAAAAAAACCTCACAAGTTTGTGGGCTGCTTCTCATTCATTCATTCATTCTTGTGAGCCTGGTGTGTGTCATGCAGTTACCACGTATCAGGTGTACTGAGCCTTGTCTATTGGTGAATAGATAAGTGTCCTTTCTCCATGAGCTTGTGAAAATTTCCCCAGAATTGTGTGTGTGAGGCATCCGGGGCCATGTGCCGTCTCTGTGCTGCCCACAGATCTCTCAACGTTACAGAGGTGTCTTCCCCTAAGTCCCAGCAATGGAGGTCATGTGTGGTCAGAGTATGCAGGAGCATCCTGCCTCTCACAGTGTCCCCTTCAAGACCCCCTGAGCCACTGCCACCCCTCAAGACACTGGAGAGAACTGTGCTGTTCTCTGCAAGGACAGTGTGGCTTCAGGTCCCCATAGCTTCTGTTTTGTCCCTGCACAGAAATCGTAGGGTTATTTTCAGAACATCTTAGTTCCTGGGTATGTATTTTTTTCCAGAAAAACTTTTTAAAGAAAATGACCCTCTAATAATTTGAGATTACAGCAACTACAGTGCTCTGATCCTTGAAAAATAAATTCAGCTTTATAAGAAAAAGTCATATCATATTTGTGATATGAAATGTGTTACATCAGCAAATCTTCACCCCTCCTCCTGCTCTAACTGAGCAGCCATGGCAGGTCCCACTGCAGGGAGTGATGAGCAGGTCCCACTGCAGGGAGTGATGGGCAGGTTCCCACTGCAGGGAGTGATGGGCAGGTCCCACTGCAGGGAGTGATGGGCAGGTTCCCACTGCAGGGAGTGATGGGCAGGTCCCACTGCAGGGAGTGATGGGAGGTTCCCACTGCAGGGAGTGATGGGAGGTTCCCACTGCAGGG